TGGGCCCCACCTCCGGGCTCACTTCCGTATAAATAGGAAGTAGGCCCTACAATCCACTCCTAATTTTCTTCAGCACTCCGTTGCAGAAGCATTGACAGGCAAAACAAGTTCTTTTATGAGCTACTTACTAAACATTCCTGGTTCCCCTGGGCCCATCCTCCCTCTCCTCCGGACGGGGGAAACAGGGTGGGGGCCCGGTGTCAACCCGACATATGAGTTACGACCGGAGCTCACGGGGTGAGTTTTGCCGGGGATTAGAGCACGCAAACGCGGCTCTCACTCCCCAGGTGTCGTGCACTCCCCAGGTGTCGTGCACTCATTGTGTCCGTCTCCCTCTGACCCACAGACAGTGGAGAGCGGACGCTCTCGCTGCTGCGGCCGAGGATGATTGGCTAGTCCAGGAGTTTTACTCTGTGGACCAAGCCCTTTATTTATTGGATCCGAGTGGCGGGCAGGCGACTCCTTCCCCTCCAGTCACGGATCACCATGTGGTTCCCCCGCCCTGTCTCCCTCTCCTCCGGCGGGGGAGACGGGGCGGGGGCCCGGGGTCAGCCCGGTGGCCGAGCCTAGGTTCGGCTGCCGGGCTGATGGACGGGTCAACGGGTCCCTTTATCCGCCATCACGGCTCGGCCGTCGATAGGCGGTATTCTCCAGGAACTCCCGGAGATCATCGGAAAGGCAGCCGCCTAATGAGATCTCCCCGTTCCCCCGGGTTCAGGAGAGCTCTCCTCCGGATGACATAAAAAAAAGCTGCATAAGCGGCTGCCTCACAGCCTGTCGGTTGTTAGGCAGCAAAGCTTACGGCTCAAACCAGCTGTCTTTAAAAACTGTCGGTTAATTAGACAGCCCGGGTTTGTTTCCTATGTCACAGATGTGCCTCCTACACACACCTCCACTCATTCCTCAAGCAGGTTTGAGCGTGAACCTCAATGTCCGTTTTACGAGTTTTCTCCTAAACGGCGACATGAGGAGAGCCGCTGTGTAATACAGCGTGTGGAGGTGCATACGCCAGCTGTTTGTTACCTGTACGGTTTGAGCCGGCTGTAACCTGTTGGTTAGCGCGGCAGCGGGGCTCGTGGCACAAGCCAGCTGTAATTAACCAGTAGGTTATTAAACAGCAGGGCTTGACGGTTAAACCTGATGCTCCTAACCTGTCGGTTATAGGCAGCACGGTTTTTCCTCTGTCCCAGATGTGCCTACTACACACGGTCGTAATGAGCCCAGGGCTGTTATTACGCACTGTGTGAATAGCACTGCACACATCTCCGCTCATTCCTCAGCAGGTTTGAGCGTGAACGCGCCTCAATGTCCAGTTTACGAGCCTTCTCCTAAACAGAGACAGGATGAGAGCCGGTGTGAGATGCAGTGTGTGGAGGCCCCCCTCGCAGCCTTTTCGGACCGGGCCCCTCTTGGGTTGCTTCACGGGCAAAGGCGGCGAGGGCTCTGACGTGGCTCGTCACCATGACAACCACAGCACATCCAGAGCAGGTCGCGCGCTCTCAGAGTATTACTCAGAGTGGCGACGCGCTTGTTCGATGGACAGATGGATAATAATAAGCAGCAAGGCTCTCCGGTTAAGCCGGCTGCCCCTGACCTGTCGGTTATAGGCAGCATGGCTCGCTGCATAAACCGGCTGTCTTTAAAAACCTATTGGTTTTTAAGCAGCTCGGACAGCTCTCATCCGGCGCGTCACATCCCGCGGGGCGGTGACGGCCCTCTCCGTGATGCAGCTGTTAAGGATGATATCAGCTGGTCACGTGGTGATCCCCCTGGGTCTCCTTCACAGTGAGGAGACTCCAGAGGTGGTTTATTTGCCTGCGTATCGACCCCGTGCGTCAGAGGAGACGCATGGTGTACATTCCTCCTTCCGTGGGTTTGGATTGAAACCACTGGAAAAATCTCCACGTCAGTGGGGGTGCCCCTGAGCAGAGTGACGTCACACACCACAGTGTTCACAGACGCATCTCTCGCAGGCTGAGGAACGTGCATGTCGCAGGCAGTGGGGGGACAGTGGCCGGGTCACATGTCTCTCCATATAAACGTGCTGGAATTACTATATGGAAAGTAATCCAGCACTTCACCCTGTTGCTGTACAATCAACATGTGTTGATTCAAACAGACAACAAAGCAGCGGCGGCCTACATAAATCGCCAGGGAGGTGTTCGATCAGCGCAGCTGCTGAACACACATCCTACACAGCCAAATGGACAACGTTCCGTTTGGTGTATAGGGAAAATCCTGGACCCCGTTGGGCCCCCTGCCTCGTGCTGTCGTTCCTCCAGCTGTTGCTGGACAGGAATTGGCTTATAGCACGGTAAAAACATATGCTGCTGCCATTTCATCTTGCCACGTAGATTGGTGTCAGCACGGTGTGTAGTCACCCTCTGACAAAACGTTTTCTACGGGGAGCACAGAGACTCAGACCTGTGTCACGCGCTTTGGCGCCTCAATGGGTTCGGCTTTAGTGTTATGCGCACTAAGTAAAGCTCCATTTGAACCTTTAGATCAGGTCCCCCTAAAGTTCTTGTCAGCTAAAGTAGCTCTGCTCTTGGCTCTCGGTGGCTCCGTCATGTCTCCGGATCCAAGGAGATGGCAGCTTAGCTGTTTTGCGCCCTAACCCGGTTTTTATGCCAAAGGTGATCACAAGCTTGTTTTAAATCGAGAGTGATAACTTTGGATGGCTTCTTTCCTCCTCCTCACCTCCTTTACGGCGTTGCACGGAGGAATGACAGTGAAAGACATTTGCACTGCTGCATCCCCTGTTCTTTTATTTGTTTGTATTTGAGGGATTTCTCCCATTCCTCTCTGACACATTCAGTACTGAATAGCCTGCCAGAATGAGTAATGTCGGGTTTTTTCAATTGCATGCCCTCTCTCCTGCCTGTCGGCACTAATGGCACGTTTCCACTGCAGGCATCGCTCGGCCTCACTCGGCCTCGCTCGGTTTGGTTAGGCCTTATTAGGCCCGGCTCACTTTAATGCTGCGCTTCCAGTACAGTTTAGGAACTGGGGCAGTTACTATAGTAACGCAGTGTAGGCGGAGCCGTGACGTCATCTTCAATGAGAGCCCAAGAAAAACAACACAGCTGTTAGCTGTTAGCACTCAGAGCTCACAGCTCCTCATATCTGTTCAGAAACTAGACAAAAGTTAAACAAGTACAAACCACAGACTGCCTGTGTCATGGCGAATACAGTCGCTGGTTTATTTATGTCTGTATAGGCCGTTGTTGTGAGTGTGGACGGTCGGAGCATATAACGTTAGCTTAGCCAAGCTACATTTAGAAAACACGCATTTTAAAAGGGTTTTTCGCCTGCCGTCTGTCTGCAGACTTGTCAAAGCATTAATTCATGGTTTTTACTAACCGGTATCAGTATGTTGTTACTTCGGCATCATTTTGAAACGTGTATTACAATTAAATCACGTTCAAATATGTTCATCTTGTTGTAGTTGTAGCCCCCTTGCCAGCGATTCTCTCTCTAGTTTAGCATACTCAGCCCGACTCAGCCTGGTTGTTCCTGGCCCTAGAACCACGATTTAGTCGGGCCAGGAAAAAGTAGCCTCGGGCCAAAACTAGGCCAAGTGGAAACGCAACCAAAAATGGGCCCCGCACGGCACGCTTAAAGCGAGCTACCCGCTGCAGTGGAAACGCGCCATTAGAGCTGCTGTTTTTCCCCTCTCTTGATCGTTTTTAACAAGTGAGACTCGATCTCTACTTTTTATAAACGACAGGTAGGCCGAGTAAGCCTACCTTCGTTCCCTGATGGAGAATATTCATTTTGTAATGCTATATTCCCTGGGAATGTGATGCTCCATTTCAGGCGCGCCGGATTCATTTTAGAAGTGGGGGGGCCAAAAAAAGTGTGTGTGTATGGCCCAATCCCAAACCACGCCCTACACCTACACACACACCCTCCGTGACGGAGTGAACTCCGTGGAGTGACACATGAGGCTCCCTCCTGTCTGTCAGATGGAGGGAGTAAATACAGCAGCAAGCTTTGGGACAAACTCCCCTCTCTCTGGCAGAAACAGGAAATGCGTAACTGTATGTAGGCCTAACAACGGTTTCAAATCAGCATCTCTTAGACAAAACATTTAAATGAATAACTCAAATAAAACTCCAAACATCTTTGGTTACTTTTTTGTAAAGCTCTTTTAGTTTTAAACCTGATGTTTATAAGCTTCTTAGTTTTTGCAATAGTCTGTAAATATACACAACTTTATAATAAAATGCACACATTTACCTTTTTCTAGACTAAACACAGGTATGATCCTAAGTTAAAAAAAATATGAGGTTATCATGAGGTTGTTAACATCGCAATTTATCACTATCGTTTAGTGGTTTTGCAAAGAATAAACCATTCTCTGTTTTTGTACCATTCTGCGTGGAAGTACCTTCTCTTTGCTCAAATAATCTACTAGCGGTCTCCTTTTTTCCGATAGTTAGCTGTACGCTTTACCCGCCTCAATGTCCCAACCAGGGCCGGCCCTGACCAATTTGCCGCCCTAGGCGAGATTTTAGATGGTATCCCCCCCCCCCCCCCCCCCCAAAAATAAAATAAATAATAAATCACACAGAAGCTGTGTTTTTTATTTTAACACAAATACAACATTAAAACCTATAATTGCAGTCAGCAGCCTCGCCAACACACCAGTGCTTTCTAAAGGCCTATTCACACATGGCCCCTCCACTTGCTCCCTGCTGAGGTCAGACAGGGCAACAAGTTGCTCCTCTGCTGACAGGCACACAATCCACCTGTACTGATATACAGTCCGTGAGAGACTAATTGCCTCACCTTAAGAGCTGGATGTGTAAGAAGTACAACCCAGAAACATTTACTAATTTAAAACAAAAGCTGCTTTGCTGAACACTTAAACATACTACTTCTGGGTACCGAAATATTTGCTATCAATCACTTCAGTCTTGGTTAAAAGCAAGATTTAGCTAAAATCCAACCATTAAAATACTACAGGCCTCAATCTCACACCTCAACACCTTACCTTACCTGACTCTCCTTGCCTTTCTTGAAGCAAAATGATCTATGACATCATCATAAGACAGCTGTTTTGAGACCACATGGTTGATGCTTATGATGGATAGTCCACTGAGACGTTCTTGTCCCATAGAAGCTCTCAGGTAAGTTTTGACCAGTTTGAGCTTTGAGAAGCTTCTTTCAGCAGCAGCCACTGTAACAGGAAGAGTGGCAGAGATTCTCAGAGCAACCCACAAATTGGGGTACATTTCTGTCAGCTTCTTCTCATGAAGGAAGGTCAATAGTTCCATGTTTGTCATCTTCTTTGATGGCAAATGTGGAACATTTTGCATTTCTGCAGCAAGTTCCCTGCCATCAATGTCTGGTTGTCCATCATGGGTCAGAGCAGAGCTCAGGGTTTGACAGTGCTTTGGCAGTTCTTCGTTTGATGTGGTGGGAAAGTTGATGAGCACTCCAAACTTGTCATTTACCTCTTCAAGGTGCTGAAATCTCTCATCAAGTGAAGAGAGGGCTGTATCCACAACCACATTAAAAAATGTGATTTCCATTTTTTTAAGTGCATCATCAATAGGCTCATCTGGAGACTCATAACCAAACTGCCGTTTTGTGGATCTCAACCGCTTTTGCTTGAGAACAGACTCCACGTTCATCTCCTCACACATCTCCTTTGCAGTTGTCTGTGCATCAGAAAATCCAGTCCTTCTGTAGCAGGTGAGGGAATCTCCTGTTTTCTTCAGCAGGTCGACAGCCACATCTAACTGCATGGAGGGTGACTGCATCAGTTTGCTCACATGCTGGATCTTGTAGAGGATGTCATACCATATGGTTGTGCAAATGATAAAACGGTAAGATCCAATCTCCTCAGCCAAAGACTGGGCTTCAACTCTCACCACAGGGTCTGCAGTTGTTTCCCTCATCTCCAGAAGAGCCTCTCTGATTTGCCCAGCCTGGTACATTACTGCCTCAACGCTTTTTATCCTGCTTTCCCATCTGGTCTCTGACCACGATTTCAGGGTTGTTTTGACATGTTTCAGCAGGATGTCCCATCTATGCGTGGAGGCAGAGAAGAGTTTGTACAACTTTGTTAAATAGCCAAAGTAGCCTATAGCATCTGGTGAGCTCTTTGCAGCATCAGCTACCACCAGATTTAAGGTGTGAGCACCACAAGGGACAAAAAAAGCTCTTGGGTTCTGCTGAAGCAACCTAGCCTGAACACCTTTATTCTTACCCTTCATGTTGGCACCGTTGTCATACGACTGTCCTCTGCAGTCCTCAAAGGGGATGTTAAGTTCCTCCAGCCTTTTGAGAATGAGCAATGTCAAACTTTCCCCTGTTGACTGCTCTGCCACAAGAAAGCCCAGGAAATGTTCTTTAACCTGTGGTTTGTCTACTAGTGATACTATCCTGACAATAACAGAGAGTTGTTCTTTATGACTCAGATCAGGAGTGCAATCCAAAATGATGGAGAAATACTTACACGTTTTTATCTCTTCCACAATTGTGTCCAGTATTTTAGAGCTGATTGAGTCAATCAGTTCATTTTGAATTATTTTGCCCATATAATGTGTGTGACTGCCAGCTCCACTTGCCACCCTACCAACATGCTGCTTTATGACTGGATCGAATTTGGCCATAAGCTCCACTTCTTTTAAAAAGTTACCATTGTCTGGTTGGTTTAAAGGGGACCTATCATGCAAAATGCACCTTTGGACGTCTTTTATACATGAATATATGTCCCCGGTGTTCCAGGGAACTCACCAAGTGTCAGAAAACACAACCCTCTCTATTTTCCTCCTTCGGCAAATCTCTAAAAAAGGGGCTGAAACGGATCTGAAAAAAACGGATCCAGATTTCAACACTTTCCTACGTCACAAAGAGACGTGCTCCGCTTATTGGTCAACTCTCCACCTATCAGGGGAATGAGCCACGGCCACGTGCATTGCCAAACCTCTCATTCGCATATGCAGTGCTTCTCCAAGTGTGGTCCGCGGACCACTGGTGGTCCGTGAGCGCCCCCTAGTGGTCCGTGAGTATATTGGTAAAATTTCACATTTGAAATAAATAAATAAATTAAAGTTTTCCGCACTCTCGCGGGAATATCTCCGCAATGGAGCGAGCTTAAGTTTCACTTTCGATTGCATGATATAGCCCAGCGCAACACCTTCATCACACATGTGGCCACTTGTTTGTACCATTTTCAGGCGATTTGTAAAAAACAATGTGTTTTTGGATATTTGTGGAGTTAGGTGGTCCGCGAGTATTTTTTTATTGGTTAAGTGGTCCTTGGTATGAAAAAGTTTGAGACACACTGGCATATAGGCTATCGGCAGGCTAAATCAACTCCAGTCACATCTGTGTTTTTGTCTGCTCTTGCTAGGATGTCTAAGCGAGTTAAACTTTGTGCTGTTGTTGGCTGCAAGACTCGAGAAGGGGGACTGCATGCAATGCCATAAGTGGAAAAAGAAAATAATCTGTGGCTAGACTTCATTTTCAAGGGACATGTGCCAGAAGACCACGGCAGATTTCTGTTTGTGTGTTCCAAACATTTTACCACGGACATGTTTATGAACTTCTCTCAAGTCCAACACGGATATACCTCCAAGCTAATGCTAAACCCGGGATCAATACCAACCATCCGGGAGCAGGCCAGTGAGGACACATCCAATTTTGAAGCTGTAAGTTTTTATTTAGCGGTGTTTTTCCTGATAAAGCTATCTCTAGCTTGTAGTATGTAGCATGTAGCATGTAGCTTCGCCGTATCAATGTCGCCTCAAACCCAAATAGTAATCGGTTAGGTGTTTATATGTTTTTATAATATTTTATATTGTACGCTCCGCAGTCTTTGCTTTGTCTTTTATTTTAATTATCAGGCATTTGCTAACATGTTCAGACATACTGCCGTAATGGCGATCTGTGTGAAGGCTGTAAAGCCACGCCCTAGCCGATAACACAAGTATTTATTCTCCTATTTATTAGTATTTTGTATCCTCTAAAATTATATTGAGTAAGTTATAATAACAAACGTAATCTTCTGTAGGTAAGTGCCGTTTTTTCCAGCGTTATATCTAAAAGCTTTTGTGATTGTAGTCTGTAAGAACGATCAGATCTGTAAGCTACGCTACGCTACGCTACGCTAAGCTAATGAGACATGCCGTTTTTTCCAGCGTTATATGTAAAAGCTTTTGTATGTTTACTTGTTTACGCACATGAATATAAATGGGGATGTGTTAGGATACAACACTGTGTGTATGTATGTGAGGGGGGACACACACCATGAGTAAAACAGAACTAAAGCCCCGTTGGTCTGTTGTTGTTGACAGGCCTTACCTAGCAACAGGCTAATTAGTGGCTAGCACTCATTACAGTCAGTCTACTGAGCTCAGCCCCTCTCCAACACATCATCTGTATTGAGTCAGAAACACAGCATGCACGTTACGGTTCAAAACTAACTCAGATTGGAAAAGGCTAAGCAAAGAGCTTTGCTAAATAGAGAGTTTTAGCCCCCATCTTTTGGGATTTCAGACGATATTTATCCAAATAGTATTTTCTCATCCTGAATACTAAATTGAGATGATTTTGTTTTCTTCTCTACAGGCCAGCACCTCACATGCTACCAGCAGATTACCTGTGATGACAGATTCTGCATGTCAGACTGACCCACCCAAGTACCGTACTGTTCGTACACAGCTATCCTCGAGGACTCTTGGTTCACATCGAAGTACAGGTTAGAAGCACGTTTTTCAAATGTTCTTTGGATACATCTTGACATTCTGATGTTGTAGCCTTTAATTTGTATGCTTCTAATTGTTGTAAAATATTTTTGTTTTATCTTTTGTTTTGTTTTTAATGTCAAATACAATTATGTTACAGCTGTCCAGGCTAAAATTCCCTGCAGAAGCGTTGGTGTCGAAACACTTCCGTTGGAAGTGCCCTTTTTAACATCCACCCCCTTAAAGAGACCACCAAAGAGGCCCCGTGTGGATCTTGAAGAGGAATATGAAGATCCATTTGAGGGAAGCTCTTCTTTGGTGTTTTCCGAAGGCCAGGATGCAACTTATGATCCAGCAGAATCCATAACAAATGCTACAGAAACAACAGCCATGTCGTAAGTTACTGAAATATCACTATGTGTGAGTTTGTCTATGTATTGTATTTTCTGCTGTATATAATTCAAACATTGATAATAGGGAAACACCAAAGATCTCTAAAGCAACAATCTGTGTGATGGATCTTAACTTCTATTTTTTTGTTTTAGTGGTCAAGAACAAAACCCCCCCCAGACGATCAACACATTCATCGTGTATGAGACCTGCCTCATGGAGCTTTTTGAATCATGTCCTGTGTGCAAGCGTGTGTGTGATGTACAAACCAGAAGGATCGGTACATTCATATCAGTGCAGCAGCTGTGCCCCCATTGTCAGTTTACAAGAAACTGGAATAGCCAGCCTGTTCTTGGGAGTACTCCAGTTGGAAACCTGCAGCTATCAGTTGCAACATATGTCAACGGAGCATCTTTCTACAAACTTTCAAAGGTAAATTAACTGCAGAAGATTGTTTTGCCAATGTTTGAAAATGCAAATGTTGTTGTTGAATAAGATAGGACAAGGTAACAATAACAAGAGTGAGAAAAGGTGGGAATAGGGCACTGTTAGGTAACGACCCATGCTAATATGTAAAGATCTTTTGGGAGGGTGGTGTGGAGAAAGAGATGTGAAAGGGGCACTGTAGAGTAAGCACCCCTAATGACATGTTCAGCTCTTTCCCTGTTTAAAAAAAGGGCAGCTCATTTGCACTTTCCAGGTTCTCCTCATTGACACATCTACAGGTGATCTTTGAGATTAAAATGTATTCTTGCGGTTTTCTTTCAACCATTAAGTCTTCAAAGCAATGAATATGCAGCTATGCAAATACAACACCTTCCGAAGGCATGCCAGGATGTTCATTGAGCCAGCGATTGTTTCTTACTGGCAAAAATCACAGGAAGGCATGCTACAGAAGCTCCATGCAGAGGAGAAAGTGATAGTTGGTGGTGATATGAGGGCTGACTCCCCAGGTATGTATTTTTTATATAATTCACATTTTACATTTCAGAAAGGGGTTTCACTATGTGTGATTTATTCAATTAATGGTTCCTGAAAAACTTATGCTAAACACTACAAGCAAAAATACAAATTCACCATCCGCAGAGAAAAGTAATTACTGTAAAACATATTTTCACAGGCCACTCTGCAAAGTTCGGAAGCTACACTATGATGGACCTGAAGAACAACAAAGTCGTTGACCTCCAGTTGGTTCAGGTAAGTGGGGTGAAATGAAATATCAATGTTTTTTTCTTTAACACTGTTTGCACGTTATATTTAAAATGTGTGTATCAATGGTTATTTGTATGTGTCATAACAGAGCAATGAGGTTGGTGGAAGCTACCACATGGAGTTAGAGGGCCTGAAAAGGAGTCTGGAGTTGTTAAAGGAACGTGGTGTGACTCTGGACTGTATTGTCACGGACAGACATCTGCAAATTCAGAAATTCCTAAGGGAAAGCAGCATCACCCAATTCTTTGATGTGTGGCACATAGAAAAAGGTATTTTTCTTTATATTAATTTCCATGTAAATAAATCGATTGTAAATACAATCATTATTTTATTTAGACACAAACCCGGCTTCCTACAATCACATTAGTATAATAATATTTTGAGTAAACTTGTATGTATATTAAATACATGTTAAATGTATTTATTAGGGATTTCTAAGCAACTGGAGAAGGCTGCAAAAAAGAAGGACTGCGGAAAACTTCGAGGGTGGGTGAAGAGTATAAGAAACCACATATACTGGACTGCAGCAACCTCCACCACCGGGCCTGAGAGTGGCCAAATGGACTTCCATCCTGAACCACGTGCAGGATATCCACTCTCATGATGACCCCCTGTTCCCCAAGTGCCTTCATCCACTGCGCATTGCGCAATACCAATGGATGGCTGCAGGTATGTTGTTCATAAACCATATTACATTACTCCTCTATAAATATTTGTAAGGGACAACTATTGAATACAGGATGTTGTCAGACACAATCTACTGTATAAAGCATGACAATTCAAATATGACTTTGATTTTCAAATTCTTAGGAACGCCGGCCTTTCACAAGCTGGAGACAATTCTCTCAAACAAGAGGATTTTGAAAGCTGTGGCCAAACTCAGCCCACACCACCAGACTTCATCTTTGGAGTCATTCCATGCCGTCATCCTGCGCTTTGCTCCAAAGAATGTTGTGTTTCCATTTCTTGGAATGTTGTGCAGGTAAAATAAACCATAGTTACTTACTAATTAGTGACAATTTGTACATCCTTTGCTATTATTTACATTTTTTTTTTACTCATGGCGGAAATGAAAGACTGTACCTGGCAGCCCTGCACTACAATGAAAACGCTGAGCGTGCACAAGCCACTACATCCACTGGAAAGCCTCTGTATAAACTGCAGTTCCCAAAGGCCAGGAAGGGAGAATGCAGAGCAAAACCAGTAAAGACTGACCCCACATTCTGTAAGTGTGTAACTATTTACAAATATAAAATAAATAAATTAAAAAGAACTTTCAGTTTTGTACATGCATATACTAATGTAAACCACATTTTTTGTTGTGCTTTTTTTAACATTGCACAGGCTACGTGGCCAACTTGATGGACCTCATCTTCGACCAAGTCTTTGTGGACCCTGCACCATTCACACAGGAGCTTCTGAAGATACCCATCCCAGAGGACCTGTGTTCCCAATATGAGCGACCTGACAGGGAGGAGGTCATCTCCGGGTATGCTACTCGGTTCAATTTGGCTGCTGTCTGAACCCAACATAGATATTTCGCGGATCAGGAAACTCTCTGCGAATCCTGAGGATAACGCAGGCCGGAATCACCACTCTGATCCTGCGTCCAAGGAAGCCCCAGCACCAGCTCACAAAGCTTCTGTAGGCTAGATACCTGTGACGCCTGAAATCATTAAAAAATATATTTAGTGTCATTTATATATAATACAAGTACATTTAGTTTTTTTTTATGGGTTCAAAGAACCGTTCATTTTGACAATAAAGTTCAGAGTTGATATCAAATGTGTCGTGATTATTTATGTTTGGATGGGTAAAGAATATTCTGATTTCAAAAGCATAAGGTTGTGTGTGGACTTTTTTTGTCGTACACTTGGGTGTGTTATGCCATTGCTGTGTAATAATATATATATATATATATATAATAGTACATGTACAATGAAAGATTGCATAAAGCCATATACACCAGTATTTATTTCCATGAACAATATTAGCATTCGTTTTACAATTTCAGTCAAAACAAACAAACCACTCACTGCTCTATTTGCCTCAACTGTAGTCCACCATGTTCAGCTCTGTAAATATTCAATGCATTCTGCAGGGAAAACACATTCAGGCACACAGGCTCCAATCCAGGATGGTCCACCATACAGTTAACAGAGTCTTCAAGTTCCTGCATCCATCTTGACACCTAGTGTGATAAAGATATATTGAATGACATGTTAAAAATGTATTCTCTAAACAGACAACTTAGTGAAGCTATCAAAAATGTTACCTGTGGTATCGCCATGCAGCACACATTCTCCGGTTCAGAAGGCATCGTGGTGCAATTTGCACATGTACACCTGTAGAAAGAAGTCAATAACTGAGCTTTTAAAAACACATGAAACTACACACATTGCTGACAACTGAGGTGTTGTTGGAGTTATACTTTTTATCACCCTAAGTTATTGAACTTTCCAACGGTTGTTGCACGATGTTGGAAGAAAATGACTGTAAACTATTAATAAACGCAATGAGGCCATTGTATATATGCTGAAAATATGAATGTCTCCCTTTATAAATATGTATTGCTGTTTTTGCGTTACAAACTCTAAGTTACAAACTGTACACATTGCATTCTTGCTAATTAGCCAACATATGAACGGAATAAGTAGCAAGCATCGTAACAGAGTAAAATAAATAGGGACAACAGCTTGTCAACTAACCATTCAGAAACGTCCTGCTGCAACCGAGATGTTTCCACCTCCACCAAAACTCCACACGTAATCACAGCAAGCATGGTAACGTGACTCTCGCCGGCGCATGCCCCGCTCTTCTGCAGGGGGGCGTGGTCAGCTGCTGCTCAGAATTTTCAAAGACAGGCTTGGAATAGAGCGAAAATGAGCGAAACGAGGCATGGCTAAAAAATGATCCGTTTGGTATTTTGAAAAATAAAATGTATAAATATACCTTATATAGGTATGGTCATACACTATATCATTTAAATATAGCATGATATGTCTCCTTTAATGTGTCTGTGGACCCCCTCAGAGCCAGGTTTCTCTCTGCTAAGGACTGAATTATTGCCACGAATCGGGTGAGAACGTCGCGCCACCTATTTCTCTCAGCCTGAGCAAGGGCCATCTCTTGCATATCTATTGTAAGCCCCCTGGCAAGACGGACGTCTAACTCCTTCCATGTTGCCATGTTTGTGTTGTGCTCCTTGCTTTCTTCATGTACCTTGAGCAAGTGACTTGCATTTTTCCAGTCCTTTAGTCCTTCCCTATTGAGTATGTAATTTCTCTGTGAAAACATTTTGCAGCAGAAGCAGTGCAAGCTATCATTATTTTTTGAATACATCAACCAGCTTCTTTTGATTTTTTCTCCGTTGATTAAGACTCTGTTAAAATAGTCTTGCTGACACCTTCTCCCGTCTTTTTGTTTGGGAAAGATAAAACTAGGTTTCATTTGATATGGTCCACTCTGAACAAACTCTGTCCTGTCATTATCAGTAAGAACAGATGGCCAGTCGGCAGGGTCTATTGGTGAAGCCTTTATCCCTGATGCTGTATAACTTGGCTCTGCTGAGGTGGAGGGGACAGGAGCGCTTGATGCTGTATCACTGGGCTCTGCTGAGGTGGAGGAGACAGGAGCGCTTGATGCTGTATCACTGGGCTCTGCTGAGGTGAAGGGGACAGGAGCGCTTGATGCTGTATCACTGGGCTCTGCTGAGGTGGAGGGGACAGGAGCGCTTGATGCTGTATCACTGGGCTCTGCTGAGGTGGAGGGGACAGGAGCGCTTGATGCTGTATCACTGGGCTCTGCTGAGGTGGAGGGGACAGGAGCGCTTGATGCTGTATCACTGGGCTCTGCTGAGGTGGAAGGGACAGGAGCGCTTGATGCTGTATCACTGGGCTCTGCTGAGGTGGAGGGGACAGGAGCGCTTGATGCTGCAGGGCTGGGCTCTGCTGAGGTGGTATGAGGCCCAAAACATTTCAATAGTGCATCTGGAGAGAGAAGAGAAGTATATGTGACCATCAAGAGATGTATTATATTTGCTAGACCAAATTATATTATAGAAATCAGAAAACAGGAGCAGCTCACAAAATAATTACAATATCATGGAATATATTGCCTCCATGTAGAATTGATGCATTTATCTCTGCAAAAGGAGCCCCGACCAAGTACTGAGTACATATTTGAATAAACTTTTCAGAAGATTGAAATATCTGTATTATAAATCCTTATCTAATATTATACTAGATACAGGATTATTGATTTTCATGATCTGTAAACTATAATAATCACAATTAAAACAAAAAAGGTTTGAAATATTTCACTTCATGCATAATGAATCTAGAATATATGATTAATTTGTTTTATTAAATTAAAGAAAAACAGTTCTATGATATAGTTATTCTTTTAGATGCACCTGCATATTCTGCGACTTACCAGATGGCAAAGAAGCAGCTACATACATTGTAATATAGCATATTAAAGATAAAGGCTAAGGTATGCAGTATTTACAGTAGTGACAAGCATTTTAACACTGATGTAAACGTTACACTATTGATTATTGAACATACTTTAGACAGCATAAACTGTAAGGCAATACAATTAAAGGCCTACAACTATAAATTATTGAGGGGATGTAAAAGGAATAGCATTTTTAATGACTATCATTATTAGCCTATTACTACAAGCAGGGCAAACATTGGCTCACCTCAACAGATATAGTAGATTATATATAGCAGGTGATGTAACTCTTTCCAAATGTCCCTGAATTTAAGGTGGGAGTAACGGTAATAATTGACGTTAACTCTAAATGTAACTATTGACTAGCAAACAAACGACCTTGCTATCGTCTAAAAGTAAGCTAGCAAGTTTAAACTGTTCCATCAACGGTAACTACAATCAATGTTTTGACTTTGTTTAATCATCATCACATTAACGTTACTGTACCTTTGTCTTTCTCCCGTTTGTCCTCCTATTCTTTTCTTTTCTTTCTTCCCTGGGCACCAGATAACTTTGTTCTTTTCGACATGCTAATTACCGTCTTTGTTTTCTTCTCCCGAGTCAAAGCAGGTCAAAGGCGGCGGGTCAAGTGTCAGTCAGTGACACTTGACCCGCCCCCCTCGCTCCTTGAGGACATAAACAGCCTGCGGGGCTGGGGCAGTACAATTTACCTGAATTAGGGGGGGGGGGGGGGGGGCGCCATAGTGTATGGGCTCTGTACGCAATATAGACGTAGTTCTGTTAAGATAAGATAATAAGATGTACTTTGTTGATCCAAAATCGGGAAATTGTTTTATTTAAAAAAAAAAAAAATCACAATTACATTTTTTTTCTTTTAATAAAATATATATTTCCCCCAATTTTCGGCGCCCCCCTGGCTTGATGCGCCCTTAGCATTCGCCTATACTGCCTATGCCAAGGGCCGGCCCTGGTCCCAACAACAAACCTCCATGCAGTCGGAACCAGCCTGTTTCAGTTCAACGACGGCGGCGGTGGTTTTGACAGTTTCTGCGGCCGCAGAGGTGCTGCTTTTGGGTTCATCTGGCTTCGCTGTTTCTATGATTGATGAAGGTCCAGGCTCCGGAGATGTGGATGTCAGGGATGTGACCTTCCAGTTGTTACATTTAAGTTTAGATTGACTGTATTTGTGACCTGCTCCATCGAAATCAGTCGCATTGACCCGAAGACACATTTTGAGTTGTATACACGGTTGGAAAGAGGATATTCCTAGCTTTCTAATGATATCAGGATTGTTTTTGTACTCCAAATATTAAGCGAAATATGTCACATTATATAATGACTGTCACCGAGTCCTCATTTTGAGAAAAAGGCCTTAAAAGTTTTCTCTTCTCTGGAATCCATCGATCTGATTGATTATTAGTGGAGCAAATGATCAAATACTACGGAGGGAAGATATTTTCGTTTGGAGGGGAAGCTCGCGAGTGTGTGTGTATACGTGTGTGTGTGTTTGTGTAATTTTGCGTTTGTGTGTATTGTGTTTGTTTCCCGGGGAAAACACTCACAAGAAACACCGGCTGTTGTTATGCCTGCTATGACGTTAAATTACTCCGTTCTCCGCTTGTAATTATGCCGTTACAAGCTTTAAAGTTGTATTTATCATCTGAATTTGCCGAAACAAGTTTAATATTCTGAAAGCCAAGACTTTGTTTAATTAAAATCAGATGAAAACAAACTGTAACGGACCCTGCCGTGTTATCTATGATTACTATACTCTTACATTCATAATTTCAGCGGAGGGAGGGGGGGCGGCGCTGCTGGAAGAGCAGATTGCGAGTGAGAGGTGCCTGTCTTCATCCCTTTACAAGCTTCAAAAAAATGTATTTATCGTGTGATTTTGGAAATAAAAGTTTCATATTCTGAAAGCCAAGACTTTGTTTGTTTAAAATCAAACAAAACACCCGAACCCTGAAAAAATAGTTTTTTACGTAAATCCACGTTTATTCTGAAATGAGCCGTTGCGACTTCCGACTGATTTCGATAGAGCGGGTCACATTTAGTTTTCTTCTGCGCTGGTTCTTCAGACATGTTTGCAAGTGTATATATCATTTCTAGGTT